CTCACTCACTCACTCACTCACTCACAATCAATCAATCAATCAATCAATCAATCAATCAATCAATCAATCAATCAATCAATCAATCAATCAAAACCCTTTTTTTAAGTTTTTTGTTTATTTATTTTTAAATTTTGCATCTTTGTTTTTTTTAAAACACCTCATTTCCCTTCAAAAAAAACAAATCCAATTTAAAAAAAAGTACAGGGTACTCAGTGACCATATATCTCATGATAAAAAATGTCAAAAAAAAAAAATCCAGCTTTTTTATATATATATATATGTTTTTAATGTTTAAATCGATTTTTGTTTTTGATTTTTTAAAAATCCTAAACAACGTCGGATTCCAAAACAAAAAATATAGGGGTGTAGGGTTTTTAAAGCCCTACACCCCCATATTTTTTATTTTTTTTTTAAGTATTTTTAGGGGTAAAAAAATATATTTAAAAAAACAGGCCGTGGACCGGGCCTCGTTGGTCGCGGCCGCGGCCGGGATTTTCGGCCGCAGCGGCAGAAATGCCCGCGGCCGCGGCCGCGGGTGTCACATAGATCAGGCGCCAAAGATGTCTTCAATCATTCATCGTAAGCCCAAAATCGATACTAGTCGAAAAACACACAACCTATCGATTCGATTAGAAGGGCAGAGTCAAAAATTATTAAAAGCAAGGGGAGAAAGAAAGTTCAGAGAGAGAGAGACAAAAACTCATGTGTGGTGAGACGTGGCCATTGTTCACGTTTCCGATCGCACGTGGCTTTGGAGTCCCTCATTATTCTACAAGGGTATGTTGTATATGTTGTGCAGCATTAGGCAGATGGCAGGGGCAGTGTGTCCCGAATGGCAGCTCCCGGGATACTCGTCCATAATCACAGCATCAACAGATTTAAAACACTCTTGCATTCTCAAAACAAAATCCCGACAATATGGCCCCTGTCATTGATCCATCTGGACTGTATCCTAATCAAGACGAGTTTCGTGCTCGATCATTTCCATCCTATGCATGCATTCACTGTGGAAGGTGTGAAAACAGCAGATGTTTAATACCCCTGCCCTGTTGTGTCAAAGGTAAGTAATCACAATCCCTTTAGATTGTTGATGGTCGCTGCACGCGCATCCACAGTTCACAAGACAAGGCGATCAATTC